TCATCTAGATTCCCATCACCATCATTCCCTCTCTCCTCAAAAGGATTTGTCCTCAAATCGCCACCTACATCAAAAGGAGAAAGATCAGAACATTAAAAGTAGCACTAACATTATACTCACCAGAAAGCTCCAACTTGTATGCGTTCTCACTAATCCTCGCAATCACTTGAAATGGTCCATCGCCTCTTGGTTGCAGCTTAGAACGCCTTTGTGCAGGGAATCCCTCCTTGCGCATATGCACCCAAACCCAATCTCCAGGTTCAAATACAACTTTCTTGCGTCCTTTGTTGGCTTGTTTTGCATATTGCTCAGTTCATCGCTCTATGTTTTGTTGCACCCTCTCATGCAATTGCTTAACCACTTCAGCTTTCTTTTTCCCATCCAAACTAGCTTGTTTATCAATAGGTAATGGCAATAAATCCAAAGGAGTGAGTGGATTAAAACCATATGCAACCTCAAATGGCGAACAGTTAGTTGCTGAATGGATGCTCCAGTTATAAGCAAATTCAACGTGCAGCAAACACTCTTCCCAATTCTTCAAGTTATTCTGAATAATAGATCGCAATAAGGTTGACAACGTCCTACTAACCACTTTTGTTTGTCCATCAGCTAAAACAAAATACCCTAAAAAGACTATGATTTGTGCCAAAGGAATACTTTTTAAGGTTAGCAAACAACTTTTCTTTTCTCATAACCTCAAGTACCATTTGCAAATGCTCAATATGATCAGTTAAGCTCTTACTATATATTAGAATGTCATCAAAATAAACAACCACAAATTTGCCAATGAAAGCGCGCAAGACATGATTCATTAATCGCATGAATGTACTAGGTGCATTAGTTAATCCAAATGGCATAACTAAACACTCATATAAACCATGTTTCATTTTAAAGGCTGTTTTCCATTCATCACCTTCCTTCATCCTAATCTAATGATACCCACTCTTTAAATCAATTTTAGTGAATATGCAAGAACCATGCAGTTCATCTAACATGTCATCTAATCTAGGAATAGGGTGACGATACTTTACGGTGATTTTGTTGACAGCGTGACAATCAACGCACATACGCCAAGTCCCATCCTTCTTAAGCACAAGTAGCACTAGAACTGCACATGGACTCATGCTTTCTCTCACATTCCCCTTCTTCATGAGTTCTTCAACCTGCTTTTGAAGTTCTTTTGTCTCATTGGGGTTGCTTCAATATGCTGGTTGGTTAAGAATTGTTGCACCTGGAATGAAGTCAATCTGATGCTCAATTCCTATTATTGGTGGTAAACCATTAAGGATGTCTTCTGGAAACACATCCTTGAAGTCCTGCAAAAGAGATTTAACAACACTAGGCAAAGAATCATTAAGTTCATTAGTGTTGAAATAAGCATCTTTATACAGAAGCACAAACATAGGCTGCTTTGCAAAGAACGCAGCCTTGACATCACTTTCTTTTGCATAAACACTCACTGATTTTCTCTCTTTGTTTTCAACACTTTCGATCTTTTCTCTCTTTTTTAACTCGTTCTTTGTTGTTTTCTCTCTGTTTTTCATACCTTCAAGCTCACTCTCTTTTCTCAGCTTACTCTCTTTTTTTAGTCTCAGTTGATCCTCATAAACCTGCCTTGCACTCAACGGCACAAGAGTAATTGTTTTCCCTTCCATGATGAACGAATAGCGATTTTTGAAGCCATCATGTGTTACTCTCCTATCATATTGCCATGGTCTCCCCAAAAGTAAATGCCCAACATGTATGGGAACCACGTCACAAAGTACTTCATCCTTATATCGTCCAATAGAGAATGAAACTAGAACTTGCTTACCTTGATTTCTCCACAACCATTTAACCACTGCAGCTTATATGGCCTTGGATGCTTCATCATAAGTTTTTCAACTAAAACAGTGCTAGCTACATTAGTACAACTACCACCATCAATAATCACACTACATACCTTGTTTTTGACATGGCACCTCGTGTGAAATATATTGTCACATTGTACTTCATCATCTTCTTTGGCTTGCACATTCAAAGCTCGCCTAGTGACAAGCAGTTCTCCATCAACGGCATATTCCACCTTCTTTTCCCATTCCAAATACACATTTGGATCATTTTTGCCTTGAAATGGAGGAATCTTTATCTTGATGCTGCCTAAGTCATGATCTGGCCGATCTCCCCACCCTGCCAGATTTTGGTCTCCTTTGTTAAATCTATATCTTTGACCCCCTCTACCTCTCATAAATTTGTCCATGCTAAAATTTGAGTTCTGGGCATCATCATTGAATGCATCTTCATCATTGTCATCAAGATTGTGATTATGAAAATTTGGACTTCCATTCTGTATTTGGTATAACTTGGCAATGGCTGTAGCTTGCTTCTCCATTTTGTCTTTAATTTCACCAAACATGATGTCTAGCCTCTGAAATTGTTGTTGCATAGCTTTGAGCATGAAGGAATCATCCACTTGGAGTTTTCTGTCATCACCGCTTGACATGATTGAAACCTACAAGGAATGTTAGAAACAGAAAATAAAAGGACCTCACAACACTCCCTTACATGTTTCACTCCACTCTCTCACAGAATGGCACTCAACACTTGTGTTTTACACACTATAGAACTTGGCTTTTCTCTCAAGTGTTGCTCACACCTCTTGCCTTTTTCCCTCACTCAACTTTCCTCTTTTAGTTTGTTATTGAACTAAACAAGCTCAATTCAAGTTATTTTGCAGCAATCTAACTCCAACAAATCTACAAGAAGAGTTGAAGGAAACGAAAAGGCACGAAGGAACCAACAAGAAAAGCAATAAAAGAAACAAACTGAAACGAATTAAAAGAAAAAAGAAAGAAAGAAAAATGGAAATTCGATTGAAACACAATGCAGGAAAGACAAATCAGTTCTAACACTTCCTACTAGGTAACAATTCCTTAATGTAGCGGGATTCCTAATGTAGGAAGGAATAAACAAAATTGCTATCTCCTTGTTTGAATAGAATTCAAAGAAAATTTCCCAACTCTTTATTGTAGTGGGATTTCTATTCCTTAATGTAGTAGGATTCCTAACTTAGGAAGGAATAAACAAAATTGCTATTTCCTTGTTTCAACAGAATTCA